CTTAAATATCAGTTTTTTTCGCTGTATATTTTGCAATTGAAGAATTATCTGTTAATAGCCATTTAACTTCGACAGTTATTTTACATTTTATTATGCATAGTTAAATGCCTGTTTTTTGCCACTATAACAGCCAAAAAAGTTACGGTAAACAGTGACTGTTTAACCACCTTTTTATCAACATTTTGTGGTATGTTAAATACCTTGTCTCGCGCGTTCATCAAGAATCGCATAATAGACAATAAGCTAACTGTTACCTGGCAGTTTTTCAACGGTTATTTGAGTGTTAAAAGCCAGTTTTTTTGGCATACATTTAAAAGGCATTACATGGCTTATTAAACCTCAGTTATGTTTCACCTGGGGAGTTATGTGAATATAATAATGCATTAATAACTATGAAAAAACATTAGATATTCTTCAAAAACAACTACAATTAGATCCCTATAACACTTCTCACATTTGTTGGCGAATCGTCACAATTTGTCTGGAACATAAACACGATTATTAGAAAGCTCCCAAATATCAGCTATTAAAACATAAGCAGTTACCGACAAAACGACGATTACAGCATAGCTAAAAGTCATATTCACTTAACTGAAATCTATATCAAATTTGCTAAATATAATTTAGCACATGAACGTTTATTGTAAGCAAAAACCGTAAATCCTTCTGACTACTGTAAAACTGAAACAGATAATCTTCAAACAGAGATTGATACACATACAGGGTATATCGACATTTGGGCGCACAATGTATTAGGCGACATTTGGGAGCAACAACAGTTAAAGTTCAAAGGTGCCGGCGCGGGTGAGGGTGAGTATCGATGAAGATTAAAGAAACAGTGATTACAATTGGATATGTGTAATATAGAAAAAGCTCTTACACCGTACCAAGTTTGTTTAAAGAAAATTTTATCGTTATGCGTCATACTTTAACAAATGCACTCTTACTGAATGCTTTTGTTGTACATGCGCCCAAATGTCTGATAACCTCAAGGTCTGGTGATGTGCTTGACTTGATGTTCTTGGAAAATCTTATCCAACGTCTTGAAGTTCAGTAAAAAACCGTTTATTCAGAGTGTAGAGAACACTCAACGTAGAAGATTCTCACATTAAACGAGTCAGCATAGTACCTAGCGAAGAACTTATTTCCAAACGTGTAACTCGCGATCTTTTAGAATAACATAGCGAGATCTATTCTTCAAATAGTTTTCAACCCATTGTCGAAATATGGGATGATGAAATTTCAAAGTAATGATTTCGAAATACACAAGTTCATTCATTGTTTTCATCACTATAGGTAACACTTGTTTAAAACTCGATACAAGACTAATTTCAAATTTGTAAATTTTCAAATTCGGTAAAGCGGTGGCGATTTTTGCTACATCATTGCGCAGCAATCTGCTTCTTCGACCTTTTATATGGAGATATATAATTTGCGTATTTAGTCCATGTTCTGTGAGTAAGTCCACAATAACATTGATGCGGTCAGCAAGAGAAGACTCGATGGTCAACGATGTTAGATTTTTCAAAAGGCAAAACACCTTGGCTATCTGCGATATAGATTGACAATAGTACGCATCAAGCGTCAGACATTTCACATGGCGTTTCAAAAAGTTAAATGAGCACTCTAAAATTGAGAGATAATGCTCGAATTTAGTTTCGTCAAATGGAAGTTTTACGAACAACGTGTATTCATCAGCAACACGTTCACCAGTCGGGTATGTACGATCATCAAAAAACTGATCGATACGCAGCTCACACTTTGCTACTCGTTCACTACGAGAAATTCGACATTTTTGCAGTGGATATAACGTTGACGCTATCAACGTTTGGATTCCATAGCATCTTGGTCCATCCTGAACAGTATCCATTTGAGGATAGGGTACCGTATGAAACCAGTAGGAACCAACGCTATCGTTACTATAATATATATTGACCGGCAAAGACCTTTGTGACCAGAATGGAGCTTCGAACGTTGACGATAACGGAGTAAAGTCAATTGTACCTCTATCAATGTGATCTACTCTGACAAATAGTTCGATGTGTGTGGCGACTGACAGGGATGACAATATGCTTATCCAATAAGTACCGCTACAATATCTTGGATTCTTGAATGCTCGAAGTTTTAATGAAAAATGTATAAGATGTTCACTAATTCTTTTAAGAACAACCGCAAGATCGATAAACAAGACTTCTTTTCTATCGTACACTGTCATATTCAATTTTAAATGAGTGAGTTTTGATATTATTATATTATCATTCATTTCCGATAACGGTTGCTCAACTTCATTTACTGTTAAATGCGTTAAAGTTGAGTTTAAATAATAAAATATATCCATATCGCCGTAGTCAAGTATCAATTGTTCGATTAATGATGTGTTCAGATGGTCGTAGCTATTCGGATGAAGTCGTCCGATATGCAAGATTTTCAATGATTTTAAAGAGAAAAACTTTGAAATATCAATTTGATCACTCGTTTTCAGAATCTGTAACTTAGTTAAACGTGTAAATTGTTCCAGTTTGGGTCCCAAATCGAGGAGATCATTAGCACTTAGATCCTTTAGAATTAATGTACATATATTATTGAATCGTTCGATAGCAAAAAGACGAATGGAGTCCACTTTGTTCTCATTAGATAAAGTAATTGTTTCAATTGAATCAGGAGAAAATTGTTCTAAAATCTCACAGTAACGACAAAATTGAGGAAATGAAATGTGCGGTGAAGACAGGTCGATATTGATCGAATAAGAGTAAAGAAAAGACTGCACGCGAGAGTTCAAACCGGTAAACGAGAGGAGAATGTCCAACGGTGTTAAATAGTCGAGAAATTCAAGCCACAGCTCATTGGAACAATTTTCAATCGATGTCACATTAATGCCTAAAAATAAACAACATTTTTCTCACTCTATACTCATAGCTCCTTAATACCTTTTATTCTCTTTTTAGCTGAGTCATTGTTGGTATTCGCATATTTTACTTTCATTCTGTCTAAATTTGACTATGAAATCATTCGAGTGTTATTT